GCCCCACAGCCCCCTGCCCCCTCCGTTCTGCCCATACCCCTCACTCCCCACCTGCAGGCCCCTGCCCCACTCCAGCCCTGCTGGTGCCCCTCACTCCCCACCTGCAGCTTCCTGGTCCCCCCAACTGCTCCCATCAGACTGGGCTGGTGCACAGCAACTCTGATTTCATGTGGGTGGTGGCAGAGCAAATCTGGTAACCCTATTGGAGCCCAGCTTGTCCATTATACAAGAGCTGCTATGTAAAAGTGGAGGGAGTAAGCTGGCAGGTGCAGGATGGGTTACTACATTTTTCCCAGAAGGGAAGAGGAGAGAAGGGCATGGAAACTTCCAGCTGATAGTGCCAGTAGGTCATGGCCTAGCCCATTTCTTCTTCCCTGTTTTAAAAAATGTAGCAGCTTGTGTTCTTTCCTTATAGGGATACGATTCAATCATAGGGAAATGGTCCATGTATAATGGGTTTGAAATCCTGGTTTGAGGAGAATGGTGAGCTGTGTGTTCCAGCCCTTTCCTTGGTTGGTAGTAGTAACACAGTAGCAATAAACCAGATATTTTCTGACTATTACAAATTGGTAATAAAGAAGTTGGGAATAAAGAACCTGTGCTTCAGGACCAGGCCTTTTAGTAATCTTAAATTCATAGAATCACAGGGTTGGGAGGGAATTCAAGGGTCCCCTAGGAATGCCACTTCTAAAGCCTTCCCATTTACTCACAGTGAAGAGTGCCCCAGGATTCGGCCCCAGTGTCTGCATATTTGCAGTAGTGGGGGGTGACACTGATTGGGTGACATGCATGTCTCAGAATTCACACCTAATTTTGCTAGTGCCTGAAGCCACTTCTGAATGTTAATAGTTACAAGGCTAAACACTAATTAAAGGAAATCACATGAGCTGAAACCAAGACAGACACAGTGGGGACAGCAGTTTAGAGCTTCCTGTCCTTGAAAACTATGGTTTATCTCCTGGCATCAGACTGGAAGCTGCAGTTCTTGACAGCAAGCAGCAAGTTCCAGATACTAACTTACTAAGAATATTTTGGCACATTCTGCAGGGTGTTATCAAGGGCCTAGGACTCTACCTAAAGTTTTAAAGGTTTTTTATGTTACATATAATATTTTCTGCAGCCTTTCAATTTCAAAAAACATTTTGCTGTAATGTCAGATATCTCCCCCACCCCAGCATGGAATGTAAAAGAAAGTTGCATTGTTGTGATTAGCACAATTTCAGTATAGACACCAAGGACTGAAGGATGGAGGAGGGTGAA